GGTTGGCGCATGTTCAAGAACACCTTCCAGAGCAACTTCAGATTGGTTCGCGCGCACAGAAAAGTTCGGCGCCCGCGATGACGGCCGTGCATGCCGACAAATGCTAAGGAAGCGCACGGAACAACCCGAATGTTGTTGCATATTCGGGTGGCCCATGTTCATAAACACCTTCCAGAGCAATTTCAGATTGGTTCGCGCGCACATAAAAGTTCGGCGCCCGCGATGACGGCCGTGCCTGCCGACAAATGCTAAGGAAGTGTATGGATCCCTATAGGCGTAGGGGAAAGCATCGAACGACCCGAATGTTGTTGCATATTTGGGTGGCCCATGTTCAAATACACCTACCAGAGCAACTTCAGCTTGGTTCGCGCGCACAGAAAAGTTCGGCGCCCGCGATGACGGCTGTGGCTGCTGAGATGACAGCCGTGCGTGCCCACAAATGCTAAGGAAGTGCATGGATCCCTATAGGCGCAGGGAAAAGCATCAATGACCCAAATGGTCTTGCATATTCGGGTGGCCCATGTTCAAGTACACCTATCAGAGCAAGTTCAGCTTGGTTCGCGTGCACAGAAAAGTTCGGCGCTCGCGATGACGGCCGTGCCTGCCCACAAATGCTAAGGAAGCGCATGGATCCCTATAGGCCCATGTTCAAGTACACCTACCAGAGCAAGTTCAGCTTGGTTCGCGTGCACAGAAAAGTTCGGCGACCGCGATGACGGTCGTGCTTGCCCACAAATGCTAAGGAAGCGCATGGATCCCTATAGGCGTAGGGAAAAGCATCCAACGACCTGAATGTTGTTCCATATTCGGATGGCCCGTGTTCAAAAACACCTTCCAGAGCAACTTCAGGTTGGTTCGCGCGCACAGAGAAGTTCGGCGGCCGCGATGACGGCCGTGCCTGCCGACAAATTCTAAGGAAGCGCATGGATCCCTATAGGCGTAGCGAAAAGCATCGAACGACCCGAATGTTGTTGCATATTCGGATGGCCCGTGTTCAAATACACCTTCCAGAGCAACTTCAGCTTGGTTCGCGCGCACAGAGAAATTCGGCGGCCGCGATGACGGCCGTGCCTGCCCACAAATGCTAAGAAAGCGCAAGGATCCCTACAGGCGTAGGGAAAAGCATGCAACGACCCGAATGTTGTTGCATATTCGGGTGGCCCATGCTCAAATACACCTTCCAGAGCAACTTCAGCTTGGTTCGAGCGCACAGAGAAGTTCGGCGGCCGCGATGACGGCCATGCCTGCCTACAAATGCTAAGAAAGCGCAAGGATCCCTAGAGGCGTAGGGAAAAGCATGCAATGACCCGAATGTTGTTGCATATTTGGGTGGCCCATGTTCAAATACACCTTCCAGAGCAACTTCAGCTTGGTTCGCGCGCACAGAGAAGTTCGGTGCCCGCGATGGCGGCCGTGCCTGCCGACAAATGCTAAGGAAGCGCAAGGATCCCTATAGGCGTAGGGAAAAGCATGCAATGACCCGAATGTTGTTGCATATTCGGGTGGCCCATGTTCAAATACACCTTCCAGAGCAACTTCAGCTTGGTTCGCGTGCACAGAGAAGTTCGGCGCCCGCGATGGCGGCCGTGCCTGCCGACAAATGCTAAGGAAGTGCATGGATCCCTATAGGCGTAGGGAAAAGCATGCAACGCATGGATCCCTATAGGCGTAGGGAAAAGCATGCAACAACCTGAATGTTGTTGCATATTCGGGTGGCCCATGTTCAAATACACCTTCCAGAGCAACTTCAGCTTGGTTCGCGCGCACAGAGAAGTTCGGCGCCCGCGATGGCGGCCGTGCCTGCCGACAAATGCTAAGGAAGCGCATGGATCCCTATAGGCGTAGGGAAAAGCATCGAACGACTGAATGTTGTTGCATATTCGGGTGGCCCATGTTCAAATACACCTTCCAGAGCAACTTCAGCTCGGTTCGCGCGCACAGAGAAGTCCGGCGCCCGCGATGGCGGCCGTGCCTGCCGACAAATGTTAAGGAAGCGCATGGATCCCTACAGGCGTAGGGAAAAGCATCCAATGACCCGAATGTTGTTGCATATTCGGGTGGCCCATGTTCAAATACACCTTCCAGAGCAACTTCAGCTTGATTCGCGCGCACAGAGAAGTTCGGCGCCCGCGATGGCGGCCGTGCCTGCCCACAAATGCTAAGGAAGCGCATGGATCCCTAGAGGCGTAGGGAAAAGCATCGAACGACCCGAATGTTGTTGCATATTCGAGTGGCCCATCGGCTTGGTTCGCGCGCATAGAGAAGTTCGGCGCCCGCGATGGCGGCCGTGCCTGCCGACAAATGCTAAGGAAGCGCATGGATCCATATAGGCGTAGGGAAAAGCATGCAACGACCCGAATGTTGTTGCATATTCGGGTGGCCCATGTTCAAATACACATTCCAGAGCAACTTCGGCTTGGTTCGCGTGCACAGAGAAGTTCGGCGCCCGCGATGGCGGCCGTGCCTGCCGACAAATGCTAAGGAAGCGCATGGATCTCTACAGGCGTAGGGAAAAGCATGAAACGACCCGAATGTTGTTGCATAATCGGGTGGCCCATGTTCAAATACACCTTCCAGAGCAACTTCGGCTTGGTTCGCGCGCACAGAGAAGTTCGGCGCCCGCGATGGCGGCCGTGCCTGCCGACAAATGTTAAGGAAGCGCATGGATCCCTACAGGCGTAGGGAAAAGCATCCAAGGACCCGAATGTTGTTGCATATTCGGGTGGCCCATGTTCAAATACACCTTCCAGAGCAACTTCGGCTTGGTTCGCGCGCACAGAGAAGTTCGGCGCCCGCGATGGCGGCCGTGCCTGCCGACAAATGTTAAGGAAGCGCATAGATCCCTACAGGCGTAGGGAAAAGCATCCAAGGACCCGAATGTTGTTGCATATTCGGGTGGCCCATGTTCAAATACACCTTCCAGAGCAACTTCCGCTTGGTTCGCGCGCACAGAGAAGTTTGGCGCCCGCGATGGCGGCCGTGACTGCCCACAAATGCTAAGGAAGCGCAAGGATCCCTAGAGGCGTAGGGAAAAGCATCGAACGACCCGAATGTTGTTGCATATTCGAGTGGCCCATGTTCAATTACACCTTCCAGAGCAACTTCGGATTGGTTCGCGCGCACAGAAGTTCGGCGCTTGCGATGGCGGCCGTGCCTGCCCACATATGCTAAGGAAGCGCATGGATCCCTATGGGCGTAGGGAAAAGCATCGAACGATCCGAATGTTGTTGCATATTCACGTGGCCCATGTTCAAATACACCTTCTAGAGCAACTTCGGATTGGTTCGCGCGCACAGAAAAGTTCGGCGCCCGCGATGACGGCCGTGCCTGCCGACAAATGCTAAGGAAGCGCATGGATCCCTATAAACGTAGGGAAAAGCATCCAACGACCCGAATGTTGTTGCATATTCACGTGGCCCATGTTCAATTACACCTTCCAGAGCAACTTCGGATTGGTTCGCGCGCACAGAAAAGTTCGGCGCCCGCGATGACGGCCGTGCCTGCCGACAAATGCTAAGGAAGCGCATGGATCCCTATAAACGTAGGGAAAAGCATCCAACGACCCGAATGTTGTTGCATATTCACGTGGCCCATGTTCAAATACACCTTCCAGAGCAACTTCGGATTGGTTCGCGCGCACAGAAAAGTTCGGCGCCCGCGATGACGGCCGTGCCTGCCGACAAATGCTAAGGAAGCGCATGGATCCCTATAAACGTAGGGAAAAGCATCCAACGACCCGAATGTTGTTTCACCAACATTCACGTGGCCCATGTTCAATTACACCTTCCAGAGCAACTTCGGATTGGTTCGCGCGCACAGAAAAGTTCGGCGCCCGCGATGACGGCCGTGCCTGCCGACAAATGCTAAGGAAGCGCATGGATCCCTATAAACGTAGGGAAAAGCATTGAACGACCCGAATGTTGTTGCATATTCACGTGGCCTATGCTCAAATACCGTAAACCCCCGAATATAAGACCCTTGGGTCTTATGATAATCGGACTTGGGGGCTACAATTAAATGATATATATTTTATAAGACCTGGGTCTTAATACATGGTATTCGTTCTTAATAGTTCTATAATAAATTCATATGTGTTGTGTATATTTGTGTCAGTTGTACTTCGCAGCTTTGCAGTGAATGCGCGTGAAGGCGCGAATGTCACCACCTTCAGGTTTTTGCCATGTGGCATCACTCTCGCCACTGGACAGATTAGAAATCACCACATTGGTAGTGGCGAAAAGAAAACATTTGACCATGTTGACTGCGCAATACCCACGCGCAGTCATCGGAAGGGGAAAATTTTTTCTCTCTGAAATCGCTTCGATTTCAATACAAAAAAATGTCAAATGCTCCATTCTTCCTAAGGATGGGGGGGTCTTATAATGATTGCACAAGAATAGGGGGGTATAACTAAAACGGATCAAATATAATACCCCCCTCCCCGTATTATAGACCCGGGGGTCTACTACTGGAGGGGGTCTTATATACGGGGGGTTTACGGTACACCTTCTAAAGCAACTTCATATTGGATCGCGCGCACGGAAAAGTTCGGCGCCCGCGATGACGGCCGTGCCTACCGACAAATGCTAAGGAAGCGCATGGATCCCTATAGGCGTAGGGAAAAGCATCCAACGACCCGAACCAATCAAAAGCAGTTGGTCGAACAGAATGTGAGCGGTAAGTACGGTAGCGGTTGAGGAAAAAGCAGAGTTCCTCATAGTGAGCCAATAGGCGCTGACCTTGTTGAGATATACAAACCTATTCAGCTGCATTTTAGTAGCTGTAACCCTTAACAAAACAGCTGTCACAAAAAAATACAATGAAATCAAGTATGGCACTTGCTATGTAACAAAACATCTACGTAAAAAAATGTAACACAATCGATGAGTAGTGATTCGTTGAAACCCATCAGGCAGTCGTTTGTTCAGAATAGAGAGAGCCAGGTGCCCGGCATGGACCATCCAGCAAGCGCGCCTTGATGAAGGCTCTGCCCGGCACAATCAAGCGAGGTATCTGAAGTTGGTGGGGTTCTCCTTGTCACGCTGCAGGTTCTCACGCGCAATCAAATCCTCAGTGCGCTTCTTGATCGCCTTATGTCCGGCTGCTCACACACAATCGCATGGTGCACACATCACGTTCCCCCCGTCAAGCAATCTCCTTCTGCAGCCAAGCGGGTGGCTTGGAGGAGCGCCTGGTACAACTCACTTACCTTGGCAGAAAATTTACAAGACAGCAACGAGAGTAAACGACTGGCGCAGGCGGGTAAGGTGTGTGAGGAGGGAGGGGCGTTACCTTGAACATGCGGCCTAGTTGCTCGACGCATTCGAGCACGAGCTGCTGGTGGCCCAGCACCTTGCGGCTCTTCATGATGCGCACAGTGGACGCGTCTATGGCGGCAGTGGCACCTGCTCGTCTCCACACACACACCGCCACAGAACACAGCATGGCAGCGCACCCGCCATGGGTCAGGAAGAGAGTTGTGAGACGCCTGTGGCATGGCGGCTGGCAACTGGGCCATGACAAGGGCAGCAACACCCAGACGGCATTCCACAGTTAAGCAAACACGAGAGGGGCGTGCAAAATACACCAGGCAGGCAGGAAGAGCGCAGACCTTGATGCGCCGCATCTTGTCTGTGAAGGAGGGGTTAAAAGCGAACACGTCGCTCTGCTCAATGGTCTTGCCGGCGGGCTTCTTCACGAGAATCTTGTACTTGTCGCAGGAGAGCGAGTGCAGCAGGCGCACTATATCCTCGTCCGTGAGGCGCTCAGACGCGTTGAAGAGCAGCAGCACTGCGGCCTGGTACGTGGTGACGATGAGCTCGATGGGCTTCGCTGTGAACTTGCCCGTGATGTTGCACGTGCCCTGCGAGTAGATACACATCAGCTTGCGGTGCTTGGTCTTCGTCTGGTAAAACTCCTTGAACACCTCCACACACCGCACCTGATGCCCCATGGCCGCCCACACCACACACCGCACACATGCAGTCACAAAGTCACATCATCAAAAACTTGCACATCAGCAGGGGGGGCCAACAAAAAGCATGTTCGTGAAGCTGGGACTTGTGGAAGGCGGGAGGGAGGCGGGAGGGAGCGCGCACCATTTCAGCGGGCAGCGCGAGGTCGGAGGACTTGTAGGAGGGCCAGAAGACGGTGGTGAGCACGGTGACGGAGAGGTCTATGCCCGGACTGTGCCCGGGGCTGTCCGCCAGATACTCCTCAAACGCCGCCTGCTGCTCCGGCGCCAGCGTCAGATCCGTCACCTGTAGGGGGGCAGACAGGGGGGCACACCCACATGCACGCACACATGCACGCACACATGCACGCACACATGCACGCACACATGCACGTACACAAGCTCACATTGGGCCTCAAACCCGGATGGCTGTGTGAGTAAGCAGTGCAAATGATAGGCAGCAGGAGTGCAGGGGGAGGGGGGTGCAGATGTGTGTGTGCGCGTTGAGGGAGACACGGACCATGCCCTCCATCTTGGAGGTGAAGTGGCCGCCGCACTGCTGCTTGAGCTTGGTGAGAATGCTGCGCTCGTGGTTGTCGCTCGCACTCTTGTCAAACAACAGCCGCCGCGCCAGCTTCTTGCTGCCACACGTGTGGGGGGGGGGGGGGGGGGGGGGGGGTACTCAAGAGGGGGAGTGAGCACTATGAGCAGATGGGGACAGCAGGACTTACTCAAAAGGCGATGACGGATGTGAGATGTCACAGACGCAGCACACATAGGTGAAACCACGAAGCGCATGCAGTAGGGCTAACCAGTGGCAAAACATGGATGTGGAGAGACGAATTGAACTGGCAATGAGTGTGCTTGCATTGCATGGAGGGAGCATGACATACCGGCAGAGCTCAGCAAACCAGGTCGTTATCACTCATGTACGCCAGCAGCTTCACCACCTGCTCAGGCAACAGAGCGGCGCGGGAAGGGCAGGCACGGTTGCAACCCGCAGGCAAACCAGAACAGACCAAGGCGACTTCTGAAGGGCCTCAAAGGCAAGCGTGCATTGCCAGAGAAGGCCACGTCGACACACACGGCATCGGGCAGAGAAGCACGATGGCGGTACCGCAGGGGGCAGGTGACTGGTAGAGCGGGGGAGCGGTGATGCAGGGTGTGTGGGGCGCAATGCAGGTGCGGGAGGGGAGAGAGGAGGAAGACACCCGAGAGGCAGGGCGCCCACCTTGGTGCGGATGGCAGCTTCCAAAATGGTGCAGTGCGGTTCTGGCTGGAAGGGCCTGCACAGGGCAGCACCAGGTCAGCTCCTGCGAACCGGAGGGAGGGGACGGGGAGAGGGAGGAAAGGGGGGGAGAGGCGATGGAGAGAATAGGAGGTGATGCAGGTCGGTTGGGGGGGGTGAAAGTTCAGGAAGTGGGAGAAGTACGGGAAAAAGGGGAAGGATGGGAGAGAGCAAGACAGCAGCAGAGGCAGTGGCAGAGAATGGCAGAGAATGGCAGAGAATGGCAGAGAATGGCAGAGAATGGCACGGAATGGCAAGGAATGGCACGGAATGGCACGGAATGCCCCCCCCACCTCTCTCCCCCGCCCCCCACCTCATCCGCCGCCACCATGCCCGCCCCAGCAAGCCCCCACAGCCCCCCTGCGCCCATCCCTGCGACCATACCTGCGCCCATGCTTGCGACCATACCTGCGCCCATGCCTGCGCCCACACCATACACAGTGGGCACCATTCCCCCACCCATCCCCACGCCTCCGCCCACGCCTCCGCCCATGCCCCCTCCCATGCCCACCCCCATGGCAATCCCACCACTGGAGGGGCGGGTCCCATCGCTCCCTGCACTCCCATTGCTTCCCTCAGCTCCCCCAGCGACCCCAGTGAACCCCCTCCCTGCGCTCCCTGCGCTCCCAGCGACCCGTGTGATCGCCGCACTGGAGTTCTGCCGCCGCAGCGAGAACGCGCACAGCAGCCCTGTCACACGCACGCGGATTTGCGCGCCCAGCGGCTTTCGCGGCGGCGAACATCTGCGACTCCTCGGCGAGCCAGACGGAGCCAGACGGCGTTGGTGCGACGCCCCTGCGAACGTCGCCTGGAATTCGTCGAGCGTGAGCGAATAGTAGGACGCCTGCCGCGCCAGTAGTGTCGCAGCCCACGGTGATTCCTGCAGGGACGGGAATGCGGGAATGCACTGCAGTAGTGGTGTGGGAGGGGGAATGGAGGGCCGCCACAGGCAGGGCAGGGAATGCGCAGCAGCAAGAAACAGGATATGATTGCAACGTCAGGGCATCAGCTGTGCACATACCACGCACGGGGACATTTGAGCAGTGATTACACTCACCAAACCACCCCTGCCACCTCTTCCGCCCTCTACACATCCCACGGTCCCCCATGGCACCCTTAACATGACGATGGAGCATGAAACGAGATGATCATGTGGATGATGGCGATGATGCCCGTGATAATAATGGTGATGGTGTTCATAAGCGTGGTAATTGTCATGACCGGCCTACTCGGAGCAACATGTGAGGCGCCTAAGTGGGTGAGAGCATTGGACGGACCTGATTTCTAGAGGCGCTCGAGGTCGTCCGCCCTGCCAGCCCCCCGCGCACCCCCCGCACACGCACGCGCACATGCAAAGGGGAGAGGGAAGAGTGTGGGAAGCGATGCGCGCGGATGAGCGGACCAGGCAAGTGGATAGGTGATGAAACCCTAAATTCGAAATACCGCTACAAAATAGTGGTTATGAGCTTGTGACTTTTGGCCGTCAACGCTGAAAACGGTATCCTATGGTGTGACACGGTACAACACTGCAAGGGCGGTGAGCGGTGCGCGTGCAACCCTTGTACGGCTGACATTCTGACCTGGCGACGCACGACCAGGCGACGCATCACACGACAAAGAAACGAGAAGAGAAGCAAGTTGCGGGGAATACGGGTGGCGCGAGGGACGGAGGTGATGGCGCAGTAAATGAGAGTGATGGGTCGGTGAATGGTGGGAGGAGGACGGAGGGAGAGGGGAGGGAAATAGAGAGACGACGAGTGCGACGAGTGCAAGGAGCGAAGCGACGCGAGAGGGAGAGGGGGAGCGGGGCATACCGCTTGTTGAGGTGGGCATGGGCCTTGTTGCAGACGCTGTTAGCGAAGCGGCGGCCAACACCGCACCGCGGATGGAGGTGAGCGCGTTCATGATCTTGGTGCGGCCGTCCACAATGGTGTTGAGCACGCGCAGAGCAGAATGCGCTCACACCCCCCTCGCTCGCTACAAGCGCCTACCCAACCCACCATCGTAGCACACGCACGCCGCACCCACACACGCACGCACGCTGTAACGTATGGCGTGGTGGTAGTTTTTCCGCGCACCCACACACGCACAACATGCACACGCTGGTAGGAGGTGGTTCGCGAAAGTTCGCAACGTTCTGCCGTGGCAAGGCGATTCGACGAGGAGCCGCCATGGTTGCGACGACTGACACGGCGATGGCGTCTCCCTCTCCGCTCTCACCGCGTGCTCCCTGCAAGCACCCTTGTTGCAAGCGCCGCCCGCCGTGCCACCACTCTCAAGCAAGTCCCTTCATCGCGCCTTGTCAGTCGTGACGCCCCTCTCCATCTGATTCGCCTCCTCTCCGCCTCTCCTCCCTGCCTTCTCCCCTCGTCCCGCTCTCCCCCCCTTCCCTCTCGCCCCTTTCACTCTCCCTGCCCGTCCCTCTCCGCAGGGTGGTGAGTGCGGAGCGGACAAGCGCGCGGGGATAGGTCGTGCGCTGCTCCGCATCAGGGCCATGCGCCCCCACGCGTGGAAATGATTCGCCACGCGGGGCGCGCCATGGCGGGCAGCGCGGAGATGGTGCGCGAGCTGGTGGCGGGGGGGGGGAGTCCGTGCTGCTCATGGGCGCACGGGGCGTGGGGAAGAGCAGGGGTAACGGGTGTTGGGGACGAGTGCGCGCGGAGGGTGGTGGAGGACACACACGAGCAAGGCGATCGCATGCGGTGGGGACATGGCCTCGCCCATTCCGCCTGCCCCTCACCTTACGCCCCATACCCCGACCTCCCTGCGTACCCTTGTTGCTTACCGCCATGCTTCCACACACAGGCCTTCAAGCAAGCCCACCGCTGCAACAACATGTGTAACTAAACTACCTGCTGCCGCGCAACGTCTTGGCTGGTATGGTACGTGGGGATGGTGGTGTGTACGTGCGTGCAGCAGATGATGATAGAGGCGGTGGGGAACCACATGGCACAGGGGGTGGTGATTGATGAAACAGAAAAACAAAAATGCGAGCTGCAGGGCTCGTGCGGATTGGACCATGCAGAATGAAAGCGTGCATTTAGAACGAGGTGCGGTGAACGGGGTAGGCCGGGAGGTTTCGGGGGATGGAGACGTACCTCGCGTTCTAGACGATTCGCGAGAGCGTGCTGTGTGGGATGGCGAGTAGCTTCTCCCCTTTAGTGCCCATCAATCCCGCCACCACCACTCCCCTTTTGAGCGTACTTCGCATTTACTTTAGCAACGATACGACTTTCCTTTTTGCTGTTAAAACTCGTCGCGCAGGCTAAGTCGCTCTAGTTGCGGTGAGTAAAATAAAAATCTTTCGGTATCTCAACTCAGGAAGCAAGAAGTAGCGGCTTGTGCTAATCGGCCGCGTTATGTGGTCCTCAGTAGCACTCCAGTTTCCAAAATTTACGATGGCGAAGGGGGCGAGCGAACACTGATTTGATTTCTTGTCACCATGAGTAAGATATACAAATGTTCCCTATCGATGGACGCGACGTATTTTCGCCCCTCGTCATTTCGGTGTGGTTCGGTTGGATCAGGTCCGCAGTTACAGCAAGCGTAAATGTACCTCTCTGGCAGCACAGCCACTTGCAACTTTTCATCGATTCTGGAAGTAGGCCAATACCCGCGGTGCGTCGCCGTGCTAAGGAGAGCGGATGGGGAATGCGGGACTAGCGCGGTCGGAAGGTGCTGATAGGCGGCCTATGCTAGGGGGTTTAGGACCAGGCGGCAGCCGTGACTGGTCGGCGTATATCTAGGCGCGGCGCGGCGGTATGCGGGGGATAACCGAGAAAACACCAGAAAAAGGACAGCGAATCAGCGGGATTTGCGGTGTGTGGGCAATGGCGGGGAGAACGGGTCGGGCGTCGAGGAATTTTGGGAAGAAAAAACGAGAGCGTCGCGTCGCGGCTGCGATAGACCTCAGCGGCGAAACCGTGGGTCGCGCGATCGCCGCGAAAGCGGGCGATTTTGCGCCCTTCTGCCCGCCAAAGAGCTTCCACACGCGCGCGATACACAGGCGCGTGGCGTGAATAGCGCGCGTCGAGGACTGACGGGTGGTTATGGCTCTCATGCCCATCGCCTCCTGCCATCGCCTCGTGCCATCGCCTCGTGCCATCGCCTCGTGCCATCGCCTGCGCCTGCTGCCACCTACTCTAGGTACGCGCCTAGAGCCTCCTCTCACCACTCCTTTCCCGCGCCCCCCTTTTGTCAAACATATGTTTATATATTATAGTTTAGATAGGCTTTAGTGGGGTACTCACTGTAGGGTACAACCCCTTAGGTTTCACTCTTGTACCAACCTTCTCGATAGTTGATCTCACCCTACTCTAACATGGTATTAAGAGCACTTAGGTCTTAGGACCTAGTTTCCTAGTGGGCCCACCGTTACCTCTCTTTTTTTTAGGGTTTCCCCTACCTGTCGAGCTGCCCCACCCGTCGCGCCGCCCTGCTGGCCGCGCGACGCGCGTTTATTTTCATTTTTCTTCGTTTTTTCTCGTCACGCCGCCCTAGGGCCCGGCCCCGCCCGTCGCGTCGCCTTAGGGCCTTCGCGCCGCCCACGGGAGCCAGTCGCGCTGCCCTGCTGGCAGCGCGCGACCCCGCCTGGCCCGTCGCGCACCTGTAGGGCCCGCGAGCCGCCCGTCCCTGCCCGCCGCGCCGCCCCTTTTTGGCAGCGCGCGGCTCGGCCCCGACCTCGCGCACCCCTACGGCCCTCGTGCCGAGCTCTACCCGCTATTGCGGCCCCGCCCTGCCCCAACGTCGCCCCCAGAGCAGCCGCCCCTGGCTCCTGCAGCAGCCGCCCCTAGTGCAGCCGCCCCTGGACTCTGAGCAGCCGCCCCTGGACCGAGAGCAGCCGCCCCTGGCCCCTGCAGCAGCCGCCCCTGGTGCAGCCGCCCCTGGCACCTGCAGCAGCCGCCCCTGGCACCTGCAGCAGCCGCCCCTGGTGCAGCCGCCCCTGGACCGAGAGCAGCCGCCCCTGGCCCCTGAAGCAGCCGCCCTTGGTGCAGCCGCCCCTAGACCCTCGAGCAGCCGCCCCTGGACCCAGAGCAGCCGTCCCTGGCTCCTACAGCAGCCGCCCCTGGTGCAGCCGCCCCTGGACCCTGAGCAGCCGCCCCTGGCCCCTGCAGCAGCCGCCCCTGGTGCAGCCGCCCGTGGACCCTTGAGCAGCCGCCCCTGGACCCAGAGCAGCCGCCCCTGGTCCCTGACACAGCCGCCCCTGGACTCCGTGCAGCCGCCCGCCGAGCGCCGGCCCTGCTCGCCCAGCGAGCGCCTGCTCTTCCCGCCACTGGTGAGCACCTGCCTTGTTAGCGCACTGCCTGCCTGCCTGCCTGCCACGCCTGCCCTGCCCGCCTGCCTGCCTGCCTGCCGGCCTGCCTGCCTGCCTGCCTGCCTGCTTGTCGGCCTGCCTGCCTGCCTGTTGGCCTGCCTGCCTGCCCGCGCTGCTACTGCTACTGCTACCGCTACTTCTGTTACTGCTGCTAGGCTGCTGCTGCTGCTACTGCTGCGATGCAGCTCCAGCGCCGTCCGCGCGAGTCTCTCACGCCCCAGCAGCTTCGTGAGTGGTACGGTAGTTGGGGTTGTGGCGGTAGCCGTCGTGGCTGTAGCCCTGGAGCTGGTCTGTTGGGAGCGTCTGGCAGTGGCCAGCCGCAGCTGCAGCGGCGTTCGCGAGAGACACTTACGTCCCGGCAGCTTCACGAGTGGTACGCTCAGAGTAGAGGGTCTTTGAGTCCAGTTCGCTGCCCGTACGTCATTCGCACAGGTGATCGGACTGGTCAGCCTTGCGGGACGCCTGGTCACACATAGTCCCGCTGCTTCGCCCGTCTGAGCGACGCCTGGCGTACCGAGTTTGGTGACGAGGCTAAGCTCCCCACCTGGCTGGAGCTGCTTGGACAGAGGGTAGATATCTTTGCTCTTGACTATGATGCTATTCTCACTGCCATGTATGCATTGCCTACTAGTGCCGACCGTGCCTGTTACCTGTGCGTACCACCTGACCCAGGTATAGACCTGCTGCTCTAGGTGCTGGTGGGGCTACTGCTCTAGGTGCTAGTGCGTCTCCTGCTCTAGGTGCTGGTGAGGCTGCTGCTCTAGGTACTGGTGAGTCTGCCCTCTCTGGTACTGCGCCTACTGAGGCCTTGTACACCTTCACACTTGACTCCGGTGCCTCTCGCTCTTTCTTTCGCGACAGCACCACCCTCACGCCGCTCAGTCGCCCGGTTCCAGTCTCCCTGGCAGACCCCTCTGGGGGTCCAGTCCGTGCGACCTCCTCCACTGTCCTCCCTTGTCCTGCTGTCCCGTCCGGCACACTGTCGGGTCTTTACCTCCCCTCGTTCTCTACGAACTTGGTGGCGGGTTCCGCGCTCCAGGACGCGGGTGTTCACCAGTTCACCCCTGCCTACGAGCGTGTGACACACTGCGCGTGTGCTCAGACTGGTCGTCACCTGGCTACCTTCACTCGGCAGCCGGGGTCGGGCCTGTACACACTGACCACTGAGTCCCCTCAGGTAGCTGCGTCTGCGTCTGCGTCAGGTCAGTTGTCGGCCCCCTGCTCGTGTTGTGCCTTGTCGCACCAGACCCTCCTTTGGCACCACTGCCTTGGTCACCCCTCGGTGCAGCGCCATCGCAGCATGCACCGCCGTGTCCTTGTCTCTGGTCTTCCCAGGGTTCTCCCTCCCCTCCCACCCTTGCCTGCTCCTCCCTGTCTTCCCTGTGTCGAGGGGCGGCAGCGCGCCGCTCCTCACTCCTCCTCGTTCCCTCCCACAGAGGCTCCCTTGCAGACTCTCCACCTGGACGTGTGGGGCCCAGCCCGCGTCCGTGGACAGGACCGCGAGCGGTACTTCCTGCTGGTCGTTGACGACTACACGCGTTACACCACGGTCTTCCCCTTGCGCAGCAAGGGGGAGGTCCCTGATGTTTTGATCCCCTGGATCCGCGCTACTCGTCTCCAGCTCCGCGAGCGGTTCCAGTCGGACTTTCCTGTCCTGCGTCTGCACTCTGACAGAGGTGGTGAGTTCTCCTCAGACCTCTTGGCAGCCTACTTTGCGGAGCACGGCATCCGCCAGTCCTTCACGCTTCCGGCCTCTCCGCAGCAGAATGGGGTTGCTGAGCGCCGCATTGGCTTAGTCATGGAGGTCGCTCGTACCTCCATGATCCATGCGGCTGCCCCCCATTTTCTGTGGCCGTTTGCGGTCCGGTACGCCGCGCATCAGCTCAACCTCTGGCCCCGTGTCTCCTTGCCGGAGACCTCGCCCACACTGCTGTGGACGGGGAAGGTTGGCGATGCGTCGCGTTTCCGGGTCTGGGGTGCTCGTGCCTTTGTCCGCGATACCACTGCGGACAAGCTCTCCGCCCGCGCTGTTCCCTGTGTCTTCCTTGGCTTCGTCCCTGACGCGCCTGGTTGGCAGTTTTACCACCCCACCTCGCGCCGTGTCTTCCCCTCTCAGGACGTCACGTTCGACGAGTCGGTTCCCTTTTACCGTCTCTTCCCCTACCGCACTGCCCCTCTTCCCCCCCCGCCGTGTTATAGTCACAATAGGCTTGAATGTGCCTAAAACGAAAGATAGAGAGCACAGACGGATTTCTGCACAGCGGCTTCAAACGTTGATAGCGTTCTGCTCACAGCTGCAAATGACTTGATTCAAATTGGATCTGGAGCGTCTTTACGTCGTCTACAATTAGCAATTTAGATTGCACGATTTGATAAAGAATTGAC